ACAAAAAAATATTAGTTCACTGCACACAAGTTCACTTTGAATGTAATTATTGAATAAGAAAATTGAGCTCTAAAATCTCATGAAACAAATAAAAATGACTGTGACAATAAATTGATGACAACAAAACTTAGGTACACACTTTTAGGTAAAACATTTGACGGTGATATTTGAATTCAACAGGTAGTTATTTAGTACCAGACTCCACTCTGACGGTCACTGAGGATCCAATTCTTTGAATAAAGATTTGCTGCTTTTTGTTTTGCCTTAGTATATATATCATGAATGCATATTGAACAGAATAATTATTTTAATCCATTCGTTTCATAATGAGATGCAGTAAATGTGTTATTTCTTATAGCGACGGAACTTGACATTTAATAACGTTTCAAGTCATTTGAGTCCATTAACAAGAGCGAGCCAAAAATAGGGTCCGCGCACACCTCTCCAATATCAAAGTCTTTAAAAACTAGGGGTGAGATTATGGGGGAAAAGTTATTATCTAAAACATATGAGTCCAAATACAACACCAGTAAGTTTAGGAAACCTTTTATGCGATAATGTGGCTCAGGCTAAAACAGCAGGTAACACCGCAGTTTGCTCTGGTGCCCGTGTCATTTGCGCAATACGTCAAATCTCACCTAAGAATCTTAAATTAAGGCAAACAGCTCAAGAAAATACATAACTGATAATATACGCAGTAATGAAAAGTTTCCTGCGCCTTACCTTTTTTTCTCTCTCTCGGCTGTCATGGTGCGCCTATGCTGAAGACAACCTTGTCTTGCGTATAATGAATTCACTTAACTTTTCAGGGGAAAAAAAACGTTTAAACGTGTATTTTCTCACAAATGCCTTTATTTAGTTATTTGTCCTCCGTAATGTCCATTCTCATGACATTTCCAATAATGACCGGAGCAGTTTAGTGCAGTCTCAGAACACTGCCGAGGATCGCACTACCTCTCCAGAGTGACGCTGACTGACCGGACGCTGGTAAAGAGCTCGTGAGCGCCGCTGCTGCGCTGCGCGTGTATCAGCTCTGTGCACTGATAGGTGACCTTCACCTCGCGCCCTGGCGCTTCCTCTTCACACATGCGTGCTCGGCAGTTCTGTGCGCATTTGGTCTGTGAAAAAGATTTCAGTGTCTCATATAAAACAAACATCTCGTGAAGTGTCCAAGAAGGATCCAAAACGACTGAGGGCTGAATTTTAATCTCTGAACGTGGACAAACAAACAAAAATGACCGTCGACCATGGAAAAAATAACAGTAAAGCGTCTTTTCCAGGAGTAGGGTTTAATTGGAACAGATTTAACTTAAGTTCAACTCTATCTTTGACCCATTCCCATTTAATAAGAGGCTTCTACCAGTATACCATGCAAACAAACATGTAATCGATTCCTTGTTATGACTTCAGAAACCATGGAGTTGATGTAAATCATAATCGGAATGGTTAGAAATAGCCACGTTTTGAGAAGTTTGCATCTGTGCACCTCAAACATTTCCATTTAGGCTTTTTCTTTGATGACTGTTGAAGTACAGCTTACATCAAGCTCATTTGCAATAATGCACACACATGCATGTTGGTTTCACCATGTTAGCAAGAACATCTCATTGACGTCACACAATAGTTTTCGGCGAGGGGAGGTTTACTGACCCCAAAACCTTCAGAGAATCAGCAGATTTAAGGCATTATATTATTTAGATTTGAGCCATTCAAATAATCCAAAACACTTTAAATGTCCTTACATGTAAGTTTTTTTGTTGCACTGTATTTTCTGAGAATGCTTTTATTTTTTTATTTTATTTTTTTTAGAAATTTAGACTTACAAGTAGCCAAACCTCTAGCCTCTATTTTACTTTTGAAATGTGATGTTCTGTTTCCTCGGTATGGGTGTGTGTGTGTGCACATAATCCTCTTGCAACATATCACCAAAACACATAATTTTTCATACATCTTGGGGTTTAATAGGTTAAACAAACATTCACATCCTTTAGATGACAGTACATTTGGCACATAGTAAAATGCTTACGAGATAACGCTAGTGTATCCAGAAAAGAAATACCTCTGTGCACATGAAGCTTCACCATACAGAAACTAAAGTCCAATACCATATGTATATAATACAGCACTATCATACATATGAAACATTTATGTATTTTAATACTGTATGCGCAAATATTCAATATTCAGCCAGAGAAATCTTTGCACTTAATTTAAGAGGTAATTCTTAGTTTATTTACTCTGTTTTGACTTTGAAGACAGACCATGGATGCGTCCTATATATCAAGTTAATTCCTTTACAATTAAAAAGGAAACAACGGGAGAAAATAAAGCTGAACAAGACATTTGGCATGAAACAGTGAGGGTGACAGACAGGAAAGTGCCTGTGAGAGAAAAGGCTTCAAAGACAATCGGCAACATTGACTTAGCTACCGTGATCAACCCACAGACACGTTTAAAAAAAGCAACGAAACAAAAAGAAACTTCAGACAAAAATAAAAGGTCAGCAACCACTTTTAAAAGAACAATAAAACACATCTTATTCAAATCGCCATTGAATTGCTAAAGCAAATGTCATCACATTCCAGAAGGTTTTAATTAGTACGCCTGAAATGTACCCTTTTTTCGTTTCGTTCACCTCTCCTTTAGAGTCTTTCACATTGCACAAGTAAATAATTCAACTACAGGGGGTTCACAAAATTTAAAACAAGACTGAATAGTTTGAAAGATATACGGAGGTGTGTAACAATTGTCTGAAATCAAGTAACACAAAAAGACGCAAAGGAAACAAATGACTTATTGACACAAAAAGGGAAGCGTAGCTACATGTATATTGAATAAATTAAGAGCTCACACATTTTTCCACTACATTCCACAGCTTATGTACTTCAGCAAACTATGTACATGAGAACGGCAGAGAGAAGCATGAGAGAGAGAGAGAGCGAGAAAGCCTTTGGTGAAGCTCTAACCTATGCAACACGAGAAAATCAGCACAAGAGAGAAACCGAAACAGAAACATTTGAAAATAAAGAAAAGAACTAGGGGAAATGTGTTCAGGGTATTGCACATAGATATCAAAAACATGGTTTTCTTTCCATAAACCGATGCTACTCAATAACGACACAATTTGCAAGACCATGCAAACAACTGCCTACTCTAAGAAGCTTTCACAGGCTTTTGGAGTGAATACTATGTACATGTTACGTTCTGTACAAATCGAATGGGCAGCTATGGGTACTGGTCTGTCTGCCCACGACTATACCTTCGTATGCATAGCGGCGGGACACGGCACACACACACACACACTGTTGTCTTTGCACAGTCGAGTGCAAATGAAAAGCCATTGCAAAACAACATGAAAACAACCGTAGAGCTTCAGGAGGGCAAGGGCCTCTCGCTCTCATTCATGCAAACACATGCACACGGACACATACATGTCATGCACACACCTACTCAGGCCGACACTTCGTAACACAACCCATTTACAGCAGGTCATCATTCCAAATGGACCTTTATAACACTGATGGAATATATATATATATACTACAAATGTCTTTGAATATTTTATAAAATTGCTCCTAAAATGTCACCTGAATACGCAAAAAGGCATTTGACTGCACAGCACAACATTTTTCAATTGTCATTTATGCAGGGTAAATTCCTCCTCAAGGGCAAGACCTTTCCATCGAGGGATTACGAAGACCCGACCGGTGCCCGAAATTGTAGTACAATAATTTTTACCGTCAATTTTGGTTTAAGGTAGTGCCTTCCTTCCTTGGGCTCTGGAGAACATTCGTTTTCTGATTGGTTGTCAAACTCGTTGAGGCCTGTGATGAGATCCATGTGTAGTACAGTTTTGTTTTTCTCTTTTTGGAGATTTAGAGAAGAATAAAAGAACAAAAACAGCAGTAAAGAGGAATTGAACCACAGGGACTGGCCGTTCTGCTCTGGTCAGGTCTGAGGCCCGTCTTCAGAACATTTGTGGGGTGTGTTCATGTATTGCGATGCGATGTGGGTTTTTGAGTGTTTGTGGGTGTGTTTAACATATATTTGAGCTGACAGACACCAAGTTAGACTTTAAGACAAAGCCTCCTCTCCGAAGTAGGAGAAGCCCTTGAATTCATCCTGGTTGATTTGTTTGATGATGGCTTCGTCTACTGGCGTCAGCACGGGGTCCTCGCGAGTGAAGTCCTGGTCGAAGTTATTCACATCGCGCTTGGTTTTCTATAGCAAAACAGACACAGAGATACATTATTTTATGAAGGTTTTCTGAGGTTTAGCTTTTAAAAGTTCACTCAAAAAAGAAAATGTTGTGCCGGACTTTTGTTCATCTTCAAACACAAATGAGGACACTAATGAAACCTGAGAGACTCCTCAGGCCTCTGAGAAAGTCCATTAACCCAAAACATTGACACTTTTAAAGTTTATAAAGAGATCAAACAAACCTCATTGGTTCTTGAGGAAGCTCAACTGTACTTGCTAGACATGCGAGAACAGACCTCACTGGTTCTTGCAGAAGCTCAATCGTACTTTTTTGACGCATGAGAAAAAAATCTACCTGGTTCATGCAGAAGAGCAATCGTACTCAGTTTTGGGAAGGTTACTTTAGAAATGTAATAGGTTACAGATTACAAGTTACCCTATTTAAAGCTGCAGTCTGTAACTTTTTTGTGTTCAAAATTTATATAATAAGCGATAGGGATGCACCCGATACCGATACTGGTACTGGTATCGGTATCGGGCCCGATACTGAGCTCCTGTACTCATACTCGTACTCGTTAAAATGCCCCGATACCAAACGCCGATACCACACAGCATGTGATAAGTGCCATATTCAGACAAAGAAACACCGACAACAGACAGAAGAATGGAGTTATTTGAGATTAAAGATGTCTACGAAGTATATGTATGCAATGAATATAAAACATTCAGTATTAATGCCTGTATAGCTGATGTGAGCGAGCTGATAAACAAAGCACGCTGAGTGGATTGAGCGCCTGCGGTACCCAGGAGGGAAAAAAATTATTAAAAATAGTAAACGATGTTTATCTGAAAGTGTAACAATGCAAACAGGTTTTCTGTAAGGGGTAGGTTTAAGGTTAGGGGATAGAAAACATTGATTGGTAAAAGTAACAGAAGTTTATGGAAAGTCCCCAAAAAACGTGTGTGTGTGTGAGAGAAAATTTAAATATAACCCCCTTTGTAATTGTTAACATTTTTACAAGTAACTAATTTAATTACCCTTTTTGTTCTCAGTAACTGTAACTGATTACAATTACATTTATTTTGTAATTAAATTACGCAATTCCATTACATGTAACTACAGTAGTTATTCCCCAACACTGATCGTATTTGTTTGACACGTGAGAGAAACCTCATTGGATCTTGCAGAAGCATGCCTGAGCTTTTGTTTATCACATTTGATGTGAATAAAAGCATTAAATGTGTTCATCATATAAATCAATAATATTTCTTCAGAAGACTTGGATTGAACTGCTTGATTAATATGGATTTGCAACTGGATATGGACGCTTTATGAACTTTTGAAGCGCCAAGTTTTGGTATAATAGACTTTCAATGGAAGGACAGAAATCTCTCAGATTTCATAAAAAATAACATTTGTTAAAATGAAATATGAAAAGGACAAAAGTCCTATGGGTTTGGAACGACATGAGGGTGAGTACAGTAAATGATGACCAAATTTTCAGTTATTTTCATCAAAACTAACCCTTTAAAAAAATTCTGATAATACTAATAAAACAAACAAATGTCTGTATTGCTTAAGATTCAGATTTGGTACCCAGTGCAGTTCTAAGAAGCAGTGCAGACTTTCAGTTAAAAGCCACAGGTGTGTATGTAAATGTAGATACTGTAGAGAATGTGGTGACGAAAACGCCAGCTCAAAGTTACTCAGAGGGCAAGAGAGCATGTGGCGGTCACGTTTTCTCTCAACCTTTCTGTGACCTTTCCATCTAAAGCACCCACTTGTGTACATATACACACATGCGCATACACACAACACACTCAGCCCTTCCCCCCGCCATGGGAAAGCAGAAGTTGACAAGTGCCGTTGTGGCATCCGACTTTCAGTCTAGACCACAAACGCTAAAGAAAGAGGAACACGAGAGATAAAGTCTATGTGCGCGTGCTGTGTCGGGGCGTTTTGCAGAAAAAATGTCTATGAATTGTGATGCATTTCATGATTTACATTTTACATTTATGCAGTTGGCAGATACTTTTACCCAAAGCCACTTACATTGCATTCAATGTATTTACACTACATTTATACCAGTTTGTGTTTTCTTTGGGAATCGAACCCATAACCATGGTGCTGCTAGTGCTATGCTAACTGTTTGAGCAACAGAGATAGGTTAATTCAATGTGTGCGAATCATGTATGCTTACAATGCGAGGTTTAAAGGGGGGCTTGATCTTCCTCTGCTCCAGCAAGACCCAGTCGATCTCTCTGAAGAAAGGGTGGACTTTGATGGCTTCCTCTAGTCCCTGGGTCACCACACAGCCCAGACGCTTACTGGGGCTCTTTGTCATGAACTGAGGAAAGGGAATACATTTTACATTACATAATTCATAAAGAAGGGGTAAATATGAACAGCGTTTAAGGGGCTTTAAGCATTTTTGTGTAATAAATACAAAGAAGATATCACTGAAAATGATGTCTTGAGAAATCACACTTGTCATTCTAACAGCAAAAAAATAAAAATAAATAAGTCAGGGGAGTGGCCCAACTCTTTTTAGCCAATCATAGAACTGTAATGCTTAACAATAAGGTTCACTAGCTAATAATTTTAGTTAATGCCTTAGTATCATAATTTACCAATAAGAATACTTTTACAGCATTTATTAATAAAGGTTATTGTACATTTTTATATACACAAATACATTTTAACATTTAAAAAATTTAACAATATTACCATTACATTAAAAAGACAATGCATAGATTTTATAATTATAATGGAGTCCTAATAAACTAAATTAAAATGAAAAAAAAAATTCTAACTATAAAAAAGATTAAAAACAACGTGCTTTGTCGTAATGATAGCAAAACTACTGAAGAAAATTTTCTTATGAAGTGTTACTCAAAAAACGAGCCAATCAGAAACACTCTTTTGTTGACATGTCTTTGGAGAGAGGGTATGCGGATTGAATCAATAGATGGTTTAATTCATTCGGGTGGAAATTTTTTAGAGCACAAATATTAGAAAAATGGAAATGTATGTGTATAAAATATGCCACAAAATTTGTGTATTTGTAAGTCAGAGGTAAATATACCAGAACAGGGGGATGAATGAGGAACAAAAAGGAGGAAAATGAACAGAGGAAGTTTGGAGAGGTCAGAAGGAAAGTGCAGCCAGGTGTATGACCATACAGTGGAGCTCAGTATATCACTGCAGGAAGAGAAAAGATTTACGAACAGAAGTGGAAAAACAAATGATAAATGATCCAACCGCTTACAGCTTTCAGAATGCTGACGGCTTCTTTACTGAGCCACACGGGATAAAGCACGTCATCGTGGAGAATGGACTCAAAAAGATCGTCCTCATTGTCAGCTTCAAACGGAGGCTGACCGGCCATCATTTCATACATGAGAACGCCCAGAGCCCACCAATCCACCGACGGGCCGTACTCCAACTCCTGCAGGATCTGAACGAGACAGACACAAAAATGGGGTTCAAAATTATGTCAAACACGTCAGCTGTAGGTTATGTTCATTATGATTTACTAAACGTACTTCAGGTGCAATGTAGTCAGGGGTCCCGCAGAAGGTGGTGGTCGTGACCCCATTCAGAATGCCCTCTTTGCACATGCCAAAGTCGGCCAGTTTACAGTGGCCTTCAGCGTCCAACAGAATGTTATCCAGCTTCAGATCTCTGCAGTGACAGGGAAAAAAAAAACAATTAGACCATATTTGAAATTTTTTGTGACTTGCTTAAAGTCTTTAAGAAATTGTCCAGGCTGTTTAAAATGGTTTTATTAAGGGGTCGGCATGCCTGTCAGACAGTAAGCTGACAACTGATCTACAGGACCTTGAGGGCCTGGGCCATTCTGCGAACCTTTACAACAATAACACATGGCACTCTGCCTAATTTATAACTCAAGCTGCTCTCTGTTCCATTTCTGAGATGGCTGCATGCAAGTCTAGGTGTTTGAAGTGCTCAGGGCTGAACATTTGTGTAGGTAAAAACGACAGCAGCCTCAGGTAAGCTGTTAAAACCCTTCACTTCACAACACGCACATCAACATTCTGAGCCCTCATGAAGCCGTCAATCATGTACTGGACAGCTCAATGTTTCTCAAAATCCCCAAATGCAGGCAGAAACGGAAATAATTTTGTTTTTTTAATGTGGTCAATTTCTACAGCTACTTTTAAACTAAAACTACAAAAACATAATAAATAGATTAATACATATATTTACACAGATATATGATTTTTTATCTAATATAGATGATAGATAGACAGATAGGCAGATAGATAGATAGTTAGATAGATAGATAGATAGATAGATAGATAGATAGGACTCCTCTCTACAGCAGTGATTTTAGTATCACTGAAATAGTATTATAGTTTCTATTATATTATTCGTTTTTATTTTTATACTTTCCATTTTCAATTAAAATTTTAATTAACGTTTTGGTAATTTTGCTGTTTTTGTCACTTTTGGTAAAAACCATGCAAATCTTCTTTTTTGTTCATTTTAATTTCAGTTTAAATTTTAGTTACTTTAGTAGGCCTAGATTAAGTTAAACTAAATGAAAATGAGAGTTTTTTTTATTATATTTTATTTTCAGTTAACATTTATTTTTTCAAGTTACGAAAATGTTTTTATGCTCTCCAGCTTAAAACTATGTCATGTTTTACCATAAAATAAGAACAACAACAAAAAAAGAAATTATATTTCGCTAAACAATATTAAAGACTTTTAACCAAGGTTCCCATTGCCAAGTGCAAAAAGATCTCATTCTCATTTCAGAAGATCGCAAAAGACCTTGTTCATGCAGAAAAAAATAAGATACTTTAGTGCAAAACAGAAAAATACCATTACAGTAAAACCACCACAATTGTGAAATATTATTACAGTTTACAATTATTTGAATATATTATAAAATGCAATATATTCCCATGATGGCAAAGCTGAATTTTCAGTGAACATTATTCCAGTCTTCAGTAATCATTCTAATATGTTGATTTGATGCTCAAGAAACATTTCTTATTATCATCAATGCTAAAAAAACTGTTGTGCTGCTTTTTTCTTCAAAAGAGCATTATTTGTCTTTTGTAAGACTATAAATACAGTATCTTTATTGTCACTTTTTAATCAATCTAATGCATCTTTGCTGAATAAAATTTCTTTAAAAAATCTACTGACCTCAGACTTTTGAATAGTACAACACACACAACGACCCCATCAACTTATACTTAAAATCTGCACTTAACATAACTCTGCTGAGTTTTACTGAAGTGATGTGGCTAAAGCCAAAGGAGCACATTACGATAATATCTGAAGTGCAGTGATTGCAGAGACTTGTCCCAGCGCAGATAGTTTGTTTTCTACAGGGGGATGTTTGTGCTCCATGCCGCAGAGTGGAAAAAAAAAACAGTACACATACAGAGGGTGGAGATTTTGTAATGCCATTTTAAAGGTTGAAGGATGAGACCCTAATCCGTGTCAGCCAGGACACAGTCAGTGGTATCTGGCAGAGGGCGTTCAGTGGTAAAATATTTTTCTAACATGTAGAAACATTAAATAATTAGTGGGGGTCACACGACAGTTTGACGTGTTCATATGAGGCATGCCAACCATGTCAGCCAAGTGATTTAGCGCAGTGCCTGCATGGTTTCATGTGGTCAGACAGTTCATTCCTTCATTACAGATTTGCAGGAACAAACACTAATGATTAATATATGTGAAGTGATTTGCATATCTCATAACAAACCGGTATGTGCAGAACCCCAGTATATTCCTTTGCATGTGCACATGTGTGTGTAGTTGTGTGTTACATGCACCTGGACAAACTGGCTGGAACCTGAACGAAGGCAGGAATGTTCAGAGCAGCTAATCTGATTGTCATGCCTGATAAATCCTGTTTTCTCAATCCAACAAGGATGTATTTAACTGGTCAAAAGTGACAGTAAAGAAATTGTTACATTAAAAAAATGCTTTCAGATGCTGTTCTTTCTTTTATAACAGAATCCTGAAAAAAAAATGTATCACCGTTTCCACAAAAATTTCAAATGATAATTATAAGAAATGTTTCTTGAATAGCAAATCAGTATATTAGAATGATCACTTGACACTGAAAACTGAATAATGAATACTGAAAATTCAGATATGCCAAAAGATTTACACCAAAGTTTTAAATATGTGACCCTGGACCACAAAACAAGTCATAAGGGTCAATTTTTAGAAATTTTGAGTAAATAAGCTTTCCATTGATGTATGGTTTGTTAGGAAAGGACAATATTTGGCCGAGATGCAACTATTTGAAAATCTGGAATCTGAGGGTGCAAAATCAAAATTAAAACTGCTGGATGATAGATATTCTTCATTCTTTGACAAACAAGATAATGTGAATTACAGTCAACATTTTTAAAATGTATAAATTGCGGTGTACTGCATTTATTATGAGGGGCTAGAATCCACAGCTCAGTACTCACTACTCACTACTCATGAGTACTTTTAAATAGGCTACTCTTTTACTCTTACTCAAGTAGTTTTTTGGACAAGTACTTTTACTCTACTCACACTACATTTTTTGGAAGGTAATGGTACTTTTACTTGAGTATATTTTTTCAGTACTCTTTCCACCACTGCATATATGACAATAGAAAACGTTTTTTTTTTTATTGTAATAATATTTTACAATATTACTATTTTTAATGTATGTTTGGTCAAATAAATCCAGCCTTGGTACGTATAAAACACATCCTTCAAAAACATACACAATTCTTACTGACCCAAATCTAGTGTATATTTCTCTGTATTTTTACACCCTGTCATTTTAACGAGAGCATCTGGGTGGATTGCACTGATATGGGACACTGCAATTTATTTGAAGACGTCTCCTCAGACGTATCGGAGTGTGGCTGGTCTTTCTGTGATCTGTGCTTTCCTCGAATTGCAGTTAATGAGCCATAGAAGAGTCTTATATCAGTGTACTATTCACCTGAGAATAGAATCTGCTCTGGCTCGTGTAAGAATGTGTAGAGCCATTGTTATCAAAGCCTCGCTGATGTACCGACACCTTCTTCAGATGCAGCATGGCTTCTTTAGGTGAGTGACTGAGGCTGAAGGAAGTGTACTGCCAATAAGCTTCTGTCATGCTCTATCTAACAGATATCATCTTTAATGAGGTAGGTGGAGCAGGAAAGGTTAGAGGAGAGAATGCTGGGTGCCAGAGCATGTCAGCCAATTGGGTACACGAGCCTACAGTGACCTCTTGATGACCCTATGTGTTTTACATGTGTATGTGTCATATTGAGGGATACAGAAGCCGGGGTGTGGCTCATCAGGTGTGCATCTGTTTACACACTTCCGAGATAAGGATTCATATTTCTCTTGTAAAACCTGTCTATCATAAAGTAACATGAGCTGTTGTATTTTTATGATACTATTCAATTGATTAAAGACTACATGCATTTGTAAGGAAGCTAAAGTTCATTTCTCAATACACTTAAAAGTGTAGTCTTTTTTTTTTTTTAATTTTCAGTAAATTTTCATTTTTACCCTTAAAGAAATGTTTAAAATGATGTACACTTACATGATATGAAGACTCCAGTCATATCAGTAGCTTATTAAAAGCTGTGTTTTTTAAAGAAATTAATATTTTAATTTAGCAAGGATACATCGAAAGTGACAATAAGACATTTATAATGTTATAAAGTTTCTATTTCAAACATTCATCACAAAATTCTGGAAAAAACACACACACACACACACACACACACATATAATATATTGAAATGGGAAATAGTAATTTTCAATTACAATAATATTTCACAATATTACTGTTCAATGTACTGTATTTTGATCACATAAACACAGCCTTAGTGAGCATAACAGACTTCATTAAAAATGTTTAATTCTCACAAACCCACTTGTTTTTATATATATAAAAAATGTTCATGCGTGTGTTTTGTGTGTCAACAGTTCGATGAAGCTGTACAGGACAAAGATAGCAACAGAGAGCCAAACAGGCCTGGCCTTTGATGGTTGATTGGCAAAAAAATGTCAACATTTCTTTGCTGGCATCATTGAAGCACAAATCTTTTTGTGAGGCACTGTTCCGACATGAGGGCGGGACAGCCCAGGTTTATGTAACTGTACTATTTTGACAGCAACTATGGAAGTTGGAAGGATTTTAGTGATATGCACTTAACATGACAATAGCCAATAGAAATAGCGGACTGCGGCCCAGCTTCCTGCAATCTAAAGCCAGAAGCTGTCCGCTGTACAGTACAGGTTGAGTTAAAGTGGACTTTGTACCGCTCAGGGATCAACAAATGCTTCAGTGTTCAGGACTTTTCAACAGACACCACTGATCTGATAGTGACAAAACTCACAATAAATTTCTCTCTCACTTTATATATGTAGATATTAATATATTTCTATGTCACGTATTAAGTAAAGACTCTCTGACCCCTTTTGGATTTGTCTTCCACACTTCCTCTGAGCTCCACCGGACAACTGTACACACACATACACATGCCATAATGCATGGTCCCTCGCACATACACATATGTGAATGTACTGTACACACATAATTAGGCCCTATTGAAATGCCTTCCGGTGTTCCCTTTGTGTGCAGAATGATTTTTCCATGGAGTCCCTCATCACTTTAACATGAGGCTTTGCCACTGATCAGCCCCAGTCAAAAAATCTCAGCTAAACATACAAGAACAGAGAGAGAGAGTAAAGTGAGCTAAAGCT